GCTCATAGGCCCTGACTATGTCGGGAGYGGTCTCTAGAAGTTCTGCTTTCGTGAACCAGCGGTCGTCTTCCGGTTCCTGATAAGCAAACCGGACCTTATACTGTTTCTGGGGACGACCTCTACCTCCTGTCCTAAACACATCCTCTTCTACAATGCCCTCTATGTCATAGCTTCCATCATATCCGGTGGAATCATGGATCTCCTGGAAGGGAACTGTTGACTAGTGATACACGGCAGCAGCTTTGAAGCATGAAACACAGGGTATGTGTGGAGGTGTGCTGGAATCTCAATGCTATAGGACGGTCCAWCCTCTCYGCCCTTGACTTCTAGAACCGGCCACGGTCCTCTATATGCAGGCAGTAACTTCTGCGATATGTTTTCTTCCGGTGCAAACTCTTTTGCCTTAACCCTGACTAAGTCAGCTACTTGAAACTGTGATGGGCGACGGTGTTTGTTAGCCTGCTCTATCATTCTGTGCTGGGCCTTCCGAAGGTTCTCAACAACAGTGGCTAACTCCTTTTCGTGCTGTATCGCAAACTCCCTGGTACCGGGCGGTAATCTGTGAATCTGATCCCGGTTCAGTCCTTCGAACGGTCTGTGCGGTCTAAAGGACTTGTGCAACTCATTGGGTGTGCGGCAGGTGGATAGATGCATGCTGTTGTTGTATGCACTAGCTACCTTAGGCAACATCTCATCCCAGTTAATCTGATCTGGTCTAATGTACATGCGCAAAACTTGCTGTAGGATCTTGTTCATCTRTTCTGTCTGACCGTTAGTCTCTGGGTGACGGTCGGACGACATTAACAAGTTAGATTCGTAGACTCTCATGAGTGTTGCCAGTTCTGGCTGGTGAAACGACTATCTCTATCACTAACTATTGACAATGGGATTCCATTCTCACTAACCCAAAAGTCAAAAAACTTCTGTATAACTAGGTCCGTACGTGCCTCTGCAGGCAARGGAACAAAAACTGCATACTTACTAAATCGGTCAACTATGACCATGACTTGGCTCTTACCATGTCTACTCTTGACTTGCGTGTCCATGAAGTCTATAGACATTGAGTCTCCCGGCCGATCCGGAATAGGCAAAGGTCTGAGAAGAGCTAGGGGCGCGCGTGTAGTAGACTTATTCCTCTGGCACACTTTACAACTGCGGACATACTCTATGCCGTCATTCTTCATCCCTGGCCAGGTATACGCACACATCAGGTTGGCTAATGTCTTTTGCCAACCGAAATGCCCTTCAATATCGTGGCATTCCCCTAGAATCAGACTACGAATCTCTTCGTTGTTGGGAATGCACAGGCGATCAAACATATTAGTCTTCTCAAACAGCAACCCGTCTGTAGTGCGGTAATCTGGTTCGGTCTCTGGGGCCTCTCTAACTCTCTTTAGGAGGTCACTATAGATAGGGTCCTGCGTATACGCTCGTCTCACTTTCTCCTGCAGGTCTTTCCCTATATCTAGATAGTGTACTGCGACTCCAAAGTAGTCTGATCTCCTACTCAAAGCATCCGCAACTACGTTGTACTTGCCCTTCACTGGTTTGAGCTCAAAGTCGAATTGGTGTATCTCTGCGGCCCACCTAGTCAACTTAGGTGTCATCTTGGCCTGCGTCTTTAACCAACGAAGTGTCTCGTGGTCGGAATATACTTTGAAGTGTCTCCCAAGCAGATAGTGCTTCCAATGGTCCAAAGCCTGCCTGAGAGCGTAGAGTTCTCTCCCGTACGTGGAGTTAGCGACCTTCTCACAGGGCATCCTCGCTGACATGAACTCTACGGGTCTATAGCCATTGTCGTCGTTTTGCTGCAACACGGCGCCTATCCCATACTGACTTGCGTCCGTGGTAACGACAAATGGCAAGGACGGATCTGCTACTTTGAGGACAGGATATTCTATTAACGCGCGCTTTAACTTCTTGAGCGCAGACGTGCAGTCTTTGTCCCATTGCCAGATTGCCTCTTTCTTTAGCAACCTGCGCAAGGGAGCGGCGATAGTAGAGAAGTTTCTTACGAACTTCCTATAGTAGTTAGCTAAGCCTAGGAACGACCGCAACTCTGTCAATGTGCGGGGCGTCGGCCAATCTCTGATCGCCGCGATCTTGATGTCCTCTGGCTTAATGCCATCTCCGTCCCAACACGTGGCCCAAGTATAAGACTTGCGTCTTGGCCCACTCGCACTTCTTCGCGTTGATCTTGAAGTTAGCCTCTCTAAGCTTCTCCAAGACCTGCCTCAGATGACCCTGGTGCTCGTGGAGGGTCTTACTAAAGACTAGGATATCATCTAAGTAGACTACTACAAATTTATCTAACCATGGTCTGAACAGGTCATTCATACAACGCTGAAAAGTAGCTGGCGCGTTGGTTAGTCCAAAGGGCATCACTATAAACTCATAATGCCCATATCTAGTCCGGAACGCAGTCTTGTACTGATCATCAGGATGAACCTCTATCTGATGGTATCCGGACTTTAAGTCTATCTTAGAGAAATACTTACAACCCTGCACTTGATCTAAAAGATCGTCTATCCTGGGCAGCGGCTCAACATTCTTCACGGTGATCGCATTTAAACCCCTGTAGTCTATACACATTCTCAGCTCTCCTTCCTTCTTGGGGACAAATAAAACGGGTGCTCCAAAAGGAGACGAACTGGGCCTGACCCAACCTTTCTCAAGGAGCTCGTCTAACTGTTTACGAAGCTCCTCTAACTCTGTAGGGGACATCCTATAGACTGCACCCTTAGGAGTTCTACTGCCAGGCTCTATCTCTATCTTGTGCTGGATGGGTCGCGACACTACTCCTCTCGGCGACTCAGTCAAGTCTTTGAATTCTTCCAGCAGCTTGGCGATTGTTGGATCTGTGGAACTATCCTTTTCCTGGGCCTCAGTGACAGGTCTAACATAAACTACAAAGACCTGTTTCTCTAACTGCTCCTTTTTTACTAATCGCGCGAACGCGGGCGCACTTAGACAGCAATGTGCCAAGGTATTGTCTACACCAGACACATGGAACAAGCGGGCAGTCTTAGCCTC